AATTGCTTTAAATTTGACTACAAAATTAGATAAATAAACTATATCTACAAGTGGTTCAATATAGGGATATCCTGGAATTTCTTTTTCACGCTTTTGAGCTAAGGTTGTAGTATTAAAGCATAAACGGTCTCTGGTACGTTTTAAAATTAATGGTTGAATGTTTATATCTCTTGAAACCATTTTGTTTTTGTTGAGTTACATAATATCTGTCTCAAAAAAGACTTTGAAGTTCCGCTAGTTTATTGTCATAGTAACGCTGGCATATTAGTAATATATATTTATTTGTAATATTTTAAACATATATAATCTTAATTTAACAAAATATCATTAATATATTAATTAATTGGTTTAATTTGTTACAATACAAAAATATTTTAACGTTTTGATGTTGTCATGATATAACAAAAATTAATTTAAGGCTTGCTTTTATTATTAAATTATGCATAAATATTAACACGTAGCCAAAATGCCTTACTATTTTAACCCGCCACTTTTGTATTCTTATTTTTGCTGCCAGCATGTTGGATTGCTACGATTCTTATGTTCTGGAGGAAGACAAGATGTTAGCATTTATATATATATAACCAGTTAATGCTAATTTTTTAATTCTATTTTTAACTCTTAGACTATTTTTCTTAACTTTCAACATTAAGAGGCTCATTATGAATTCCTGACATTAATTCATTAGCTTAAGGTGCGTTCCTCTAGGTCTTCCTGTTAATATAACCAAGTTGCGAAATCAACGTCAATCAACTTCTAATTATTTTTAATTGTTTGGGTCTCCTTGAGTTGAGCTTTTAGCCACTTGCCATTTACATTTCCAAGTTTTATCTTTACATTACTTAAAAAACAGATTTAGTTATATATATGTTCGTCGAACCTTTTCACATGAGGCAACCAAATGTAATCGCATTTCTTTTAACGCTAGCGTATATTTTCTATGCCGAATTTTTCTGATCCACTATTTTACTAATTTTACTTTGTATTTGACCATACTTATACAAAAGAAATATTTTCTTATTGCTTCTGATTACTTTTCGTTATATTTATCTTTCAGGGGTATGACGGTAACAAGCGGAAGTGTTGCATTAAAAAAAGACACTCAAAATCTGATTGGAGTGAGCATTGGAGGTGGTGCCCCTTACTGTCCATGCCTCTATGTTGTCCAGCTTTTTGATAACACTCCAGCCGCCCTGGATGGCAACATTCAGTCGGGTGACGAGATCACTGGTGTCAATGGAGTCTCTGTGAAGGGCAAGAGTAAAGTGGAAGTGGCCAGGATGATACAGAGCCATCCGGTAAAGGGCTTATTTTTGAATTACGTTTGTCCATCAAACAACTATTCCTCAGTTCGTTGATTTGTAGCTTTTCGAGACAACTTCATCGAGACTTAGTTTCCTTATCTTGATGAAATAGGATGAATACATCCTATATATACGTATATATTGATCTACTGGTAGTCTCCAACACCCGTTTGTCAACGAAAACTAAGTAATGTAGTCAAATTTCATAGCAAATACAACGTTGCTTTATCGAAAATCCCACATAATGTAATTTGGGAAAATTCCTGGCCATCCTTGAGGCTCATATCTGCCCTGTGAACCAAGATCATTCGTGGCAATATGGCGCAGTAGTTGACGTGTCAGGATTTCACGTTGCATTGTCACAGTTCGAGTCACATTGGAGGGTTCTGCTGAGATCTAAAAGTGGTGAAATTAAGATCCTCTTTGAATAAGAATATCTTTTAGGAAGCAAGGCTGTGAACCTTTGTGGAAGCGTAAGGCTTACTCGTGTGAAAAAATTCGACTACCAGTCCTTCATAACCCTAGCCAAGTATGGTGACTGCATCTCAAACCTATTCTTAAATATTATTTTCCGTGAGCATTGAATGACCACTTTGAAATGAGATGGCTTTTTTCTCGATAATGATCTTATTTCAGAAAAGCATTAGCAGATTAATGTTGCTTTCCTAATCTGACAATGTTCAACGAGTCCTACTGTATTTACTGGGGTACAGCCACTGTTTCGTTTTAATTATTCATACTCTATGATGTTTACATAGGTTTTTTTATAGCATTATATCAAGATTACAGTTTATTATAATTTTATTCACCAATTATTGAAGCCACGGATCTATAACTTGTCTTCTGTCAGCCGTTGAGTCGTACTGTCTGCTTCGATTTTCGCTAGAGGTTAGCGCATAGCTGATTATTCTGTAAGAAATATGCTGCAGTTATAAGTCTTTTGAGAACGCGTTATTTTTTTAATTTTTAATGAATATCCTTCTTCCGTTTCACCAGATTGGCCCGCTTTCTTGTATTCATATGCATATACTTTCACGTGACCAGGTGTTTATGTAGCTAGGCTACGTGCTGAAGAAATTATGAGGAAATCTTGCTGTAATAATTTC